ACGGCCGGTGCACTGCGCTGATCTGAAGCCAGGAGCCAAGTGCTTCCTCCTGGTCTCCCATGCGGGTGCAGGTGCCCAAGCACTTGGGCCATCCTCCACTGCCTTCCTGGGCCACAGCAAAGAGCTGGACTGGAAGAGGAGTAACTAAAAGGGATAAAGTATTAAATTGTACATCAACAGTCAGGATAAGGGCTCATCAAGTCACTGTTTCTCATAGTGTCCATTTCACTTCAACAAGTTTCCTATTTGATGCTTGGTTAGTTGTCACCAATCAGGGAGAACATATGATATTTGTCCCTCTGGCACTGGCTTATTTCACTCAGCATGATGTGTTCCAGATTCCTCCATTTTGTTGCAAATGACCAGATTTCACTGTTTTTCACTGCTGTATAGTATTCTATAGAGTACATGTCCCATAATTTCTTTATCCAGTCTACTGTTGATGGGCATTTGGCTTGGTTCCAGGTCTTAGCTATTGTGAATTGAGCTGCAATAAACATTAATGTGCAGACAGCTTTTTGTTTGCCAATTTAATTTCCTTTGGGTTAATTCCAAGGAGTGGGATGGCTGGGTAGTATGGTAGTGTTATGTTCAGGTTTCTGAGGAATCTCCAGACTGACTTCCATAGTGGCTTAACCAGTTTGCATTCCCACCAACAGTGGGTTAGTGTCCCCTTTTCCCCACATCCTCTCCAGCATCTATTGTTGGTAGATTTCTGAATGTGAGCCATTCAAACCGAGGTGAGGTGAAACCTCATTGTGGTTTTGATTTGTGTTTCCCTGACAGCTAGTGATCCTGAACATTTTTTCATGTGTCTGTTGGTCATTTGGGTTTCTTCTTTTTTGAAAAAAATTCTGTTTAAGTCCTTGGCCCATTACCCTCAGTCCATGGTGACTAGGGTTGTGAGAGCTCAGGGCTAGATTCATGGAGAAGTCAGGTACCTGTTTTGGCAGGGCCATGATTGAGGTCTGGGAGCATTCACCGACATATGGCAGAGGCACACAAATTCTTATTATGTTGATTGTAGGTGCCTATGCAGTGTCTTTTTATTTTATCAGTACAATTCAGTTTTACTTATTTAAAAAACATTTTTTAAAAATTTAACAGGCAGGGGCTGGTGCTGTGGCACAGCCAATTAAGCCATTGTCTGTGACATGGCTGCTGGTTCAAGACCTGTCTACTGCACTTTTGATCTAGATCCCTGCTATTGTGCCTGGAAAGCAGCAGTAGATTGCCCAATAATTGGGCCCCTTGCCACCCACGTGGGAGATCCAGATGGAATTCTGGACTCCTGTGTTTGGCCTGTCCCAGCCTTGTCTTTGCAGTTTTGGGCTGGTAATTGTAAATTCCTTACTTGTCTGAGGTCTGCCCCTGGAATTCTTAAGCTGTTATCTCTCTCTCTCTCTCTCTCTCTCTCTCTCTCTCTCTCTCTGTGTGTGTCCTTTTTAAGATTTATTTTATTTATTTGAAAGAAGGAGTTACAGAGAGAGGTAGAGCCAGAGAAAAAGAGAGGTCTTCCATTCCTCTGGTTTACTCCCCAAATGACTTCAATGGCCTGAGCTGATCTGAAGCCAGGAGCCAGGAGCTTCTTCTGGGTCTCCCATGTGGGTACAGGGGCCCAAGGAGTTGGGCCATCTTCTACTGCTTTCCCAGGCTGTAGCAGAGAGCTGGATCAGAAGAGGAGCAGCCGGGACTTGAACTGGCACCTATATGGGATGCCAGCGCTGCAGGCTGGGGCTTTAACCCACTGTGCCACAGGGAAGTCCCAAACTGTTATCTCTTGAACAAACATCCTGATCAGCCATAAGATTAGCAGTTAGCTTTTGTTAATTAAAAAGTGAAAAGAAGGGGCCGGCATCGTGGCCTAGTGAGTAAAGCAATCTGTCTCTCCTTCTGTGTCTGTAACACTGACTTATAAGTAAATAAATAAATAAAGTGAAAAGAGAAGATGTACTCTCTTGATTGCTGTAGATGTGTGGCTAGATGCAAAGTGGAAATAAAAAAGGAAAATGTGTTCATTATAATTACAGTCTCACTGGCAGGGTTAGCTCTGAGCCTCAAGTCCAAACTGTAATTTCACTTTCACTTTCTACTATCTAATGAGTGTGGTATTGTTCTCCTTAATGCCAGAGGTTGTGGAAGAGCTGATGGAGGCTGTTCCAGAGTCTCCAGGCCCCGTGCAGTCTCTGGGTGTGTGTTAGGCGTGCACAAGGATAGTGGTGAGCCAGGCTGAAACTAATCCATCCCACAAGAGTGCAGGTCTTCCCAGGGTGACAGGGCAAATCAAAAAGCTGTGTCTGTGAGCCGTGGTCTGGAGATAGAGCCTCTTGGTCTTTATTTGGTGATTGGTTGCACACATGGCAGACTGAGCACTGAGTTTCAAGGCAAAAAGTCCTAAGTTCACTTTCCCATCCTACTCCCATAAACTAGAGGTTTGCCTACTGTCTGCTGAAGGTTGGGATACGAGTGATGGGAGCAGTCCCTGGACCACCTGTTTACATAAGCTGCAAAGGCTCAGTCATCAGATACTGGCCTGTAGTCAGAGGCCATGGGGTACTGCAAGTTATAATACTAACTTTTTGATTAAAACAATTACATGGCTATTTGACTCAATCCATGTTTTTTAAAATTTTAATCCACGTATGCCCCGCCTTGACATAATAAAGGCAAAATAATTGTTATGAAAATCAGAGGAGCAAAGCCTAGTGCTTCCTTCCAGATACTAGAGAGTAGTACATCAGGACCTGGTGTCCAGAGAAGAAGTGGACTATGGGATGGATGAAGACCAAGGGCCAAAGAACAGCAACCAGGACTCTGAACTGAATGCACAAGAAGCAGAATGCCAAGGAAATTTTAGGGAAAAGACAGTTCTGGGTTCTGCTTTTAGCTTAACCCAAGTAGAAAGTCCCTGCTTCAAGGCTAAGTCATTTGTCAGTCTTAAAAACACAGAGCATTCTAAGGTCAAGTTTCTAATAGGAATATAAACTGTAAGCTCATTTATTTGTTTTTTTTTTTCTTTAGAAAACTATTATTTAACAAATTTAAATTTCGAAAGTACAATATTAGTGGTCCCTCCCCCCCATAATCACCCTCCCACCAGCAAACTATCCCTTCTCCTACTCTCTCTCCCATCCCATTTGTCATTAAGATTCATTTTTGATTATCTTAAATACAGAAGATCAACTTAGTATATACTAAGTAAAGATTTCAACAGTTTCCACCCACATAGACACACAAAGTGTAAAGTACTGTTTGAGTAGTAGTTTTACCGTTAATTCACATAGTACAACACATTAAGGACAGAGATCCTACATGGGAAGTAAGTGCACAGTGACTCCTGTTGTTGATTTAACAATTGACACTCTGATTTATGACGTCAGTAATCACCCGTGGCTCTTGTCATGAGTTGCCAAGGCTATGGAAGCCTCTTGAGTTCGCTGACTTCGATCTTATTTAGACAGGGTCATAGTCAAAGTGGAAGTTCTCTCCTCCCTTCAGAGAAAGGTACCTCCTTCTTTGATGGCCTGTTCTTTCCACTGGGATCTCATTCACAGAGGTCTTTCATTTAGGTCATTTTTTGCCACGGTGTCTTGGCTTTCCATGCCTGAGAAACTCTCTTGGGGTTTTTAGCGAGATCCACATGCCTTAAGGGCTGATTCTGAAGCTCACTTATTTGTATTTTGCTCAGATTACAATCATTTGTTAAAGTTGTACATCTGGCTTTATTTCATGTACATTCAAGGTATATATTTCAGATCACACTTTTCGAAACTTGTACATTGATGAAAATGTTTTACATTTGCCGTACTTCAGGATCTCAGTAGTCACAAGGGCTTGTGGTTGGTGATTACCATGATGGATAAAGCATTAAAACATGGATTCTTTTTATTTAAAAAATTTTTAAAGTAATAGATCCACATGGAAAGCTAGTCAGAGTGTTCAGAAAAGTAAAAACCAAAATATTTTCTTATTCTTCAATTTCCCTTTACATTTCCACTGTTACACTTTCCTTTATATTCATTCGGGAAAATGCAAGTATGGCCATCACAACTTTGTGTGCATGTGATTGTTACAAATCACAAATATTGATGATACTGTGGATGCTATTTTAATCCTTTTTTTAAAATGAAAGTTATTTCTCAGAGTTCCACAGCACTGCCCTTAGCTCTACCTCTTTTTTAAGATTGTCCTCTGCTCCATTGTTTCATAATTGAATTACTAGATACCTATTTGTAAATTTTTATATTATTTCCAACTTTGTCTCTTAATGCAGTACTGCAGTATCTAAGGCAATTTATGTATGTGTGTAGGGAAAATTCATAGCAATATAATTGCTGATTCAAAGGATAAGAACATAGCTACTTAAACAGAACTCTATAACAATAATGGTCTTCCATAGTAAGTAGTGTTTCAAACAAGAAGGGAGAGAAGAATTTGGGGCTAAGGTAAGCCGTGAACCATAAAGACAAGAAGGAGAGGAAGTCAGAGATAAAAGAAAGGAAAGAAATTATTGTTGTGAGACAGGATTGATAAAGATTAGTATGAATAATTTTAAGGGGGTGGCATTTAAAGTTTAATCAGAAGAGTACTTCCTGGAAATATTCAAGAATAAAGTTTTAATATAAGCATGTTTTATTGTATCAGTAAAAGTATAATTTTTATAACTACTATTGTCTTTAGTTTTATTATTAACATATTGTACATTTATTGCATATAATTTGGAAAATGCAAGAAAATATAAATCTGAAAACAAATTTCACCTGTAATAGCACTACTTAGATGTAGCCAATATTAATATTTTCATCTCTTATTCCTGTAAATGTATTAGCTGTTACACCGTTGAGATAATATTGTGTATACATGCCTACATTCAAATTTTTCTTTGGTAATCATCTTTACTACACTAATTTTATTTTCTCTCATTTTTCTTTGCCTGTTTTGTTCATCCCTTGATTCCTCCCTCCCTTCCTTCCTTCCTTTCTTCTTTCTTTCCTTCCTAGGTAATCGAAATCTAAATTTCTTTTGGAATGAGTTTGAATATCAGAATAGCACAGATATAGAGAGACCGTTAGCTTCTATTCAGTATAGAAGAAGACAAGCCATGGCCATCCCATTCATCATACAGTGTGGTGAGTGTTGAATTCCATTCTATTTAGCAAACATGTATAAATTAATTCCTTAAAAATGCAAATGCTTGTGTTAAGAACTAAGAAAAGGGGGCAAAGTAGATAAAATATGGCCTTGCTTTCAAGGAAGTTACAATCTAGATGAGAGATTAAACTAATTGTTTATAAAAGATGAGCAAATTGGATAAATTATTTAATAGAAGCAGAAAACTCTGAGAGTTAAAGAAAAGGAGAGGGAGGTAGAGGCCAGACTTTGTCATAGAAGAAGCATTCGTTGCAGACTTTAAAATAGAATTTTCTAGATAGTGATGATACATAAGGAAATGAGAGTTAAATTCAGGTGTGCACTTTCATGGTCGTAGAGTAATAGAAATAGCTATCTTCTTATTTGTAATCCATAACAGTATCTGATGCATAGCAGAGATCTAATATTGATAGCAAATGAATGAATAATGAATAAATAATAGAAACAAGAAGTATCACATTAGATAAACATGTCAAAGGGTTTGAATTCCAGCATAACATTTTACTTTGATAAGAAATTAGGAGGTATTGGAAGTTTTCCAGTGAAAAAATAACATTGCTGATCATTTCTTCATTTTTCTTAGCTACAAAAAAAGGGTTATGGAATTAAAGACAATCATCCTATCTTCATTGAACAGTGCAATTGAGAAGACAGGCACCTGACAGTGTTTAAAATTCTGTCAGAGTATTTACACAATGCCAGTGGGTGCACCTTCCTAGTCAGATATAATGTGGAGTAAGGTTGCACGGAAGGATGATTTGGTGATGGACTAGAACAAAACATGCAGTTTCAAACCTCTGAGGAGACTGCTCTTGTAATCTAAGATCCAACTGAGAAATTGTAAATGTCTGAATCAAGGAGATTTAGGAGTAATACACATGACAGATGGTTTGAAGGTATTTGGGGGGACTTCAGAAATTTTGTGGAAAAATGGAATTATAGGTTTATTTTGGCACAAAGTAATTTCAAATCTATGTATAATTTTTCACATTATACATTTTCTTCAAACTTTATGAGTGCCCCTCATAATTGAAGAAACTGATGACAACTTGTGACAATCTATTAGATGATATTAAAAGCTTATAATTATTCTGTGTTTTTGATCTGTTCCATTACATCTAATCTTATTACCCAAGAACTACAAGAGATTGGAAATACCATTTAACCTTTCTAAGCCTCTGTTTGTTCATTTATAAAATTAGATTAGTACCAGTAGCTACACTGTAAACTTTCTTTGAAAATAATATGAATTGCCAAGTGTCAAGTTTACTAAGAGTTTAGGATAATGTTCAGCAGTGTTGCTTTTTTCATAATTTTTATTATGTCATCTCATCCTCAATAACCTTTTTAGGTAAGTAGTAATGTTAATCTTTCTAAAAATGTGATACTGAAACATAGTTTCAGTTGAGTTGAGTAATTTGTCTTAAGATAACAGAGGTGGGAACAGGCAGAGCTGTTCAGGTTCATAATCACTGTGCCAACCACCTACACCTGAAATGAACAAAGACAATTTACTTACCTAACAGCCACTAGCAAAGTGTTGCAAGGAAATCAGGGTTAATGTTAAGTGTAGCTTGGAGTGAACAAGGTGTCTTGGTCTTTAAGGTCATGCGGGAGGGACTCTGAGAGGAAAGTGGACAAAGAGATCAGAAATGGTAGACTTGAGAGTGTCATCAGGGCAGTAAAAAACACAGAAGAAAACGGGAATGGTTCAGTGACCTGATTTTCCTTCTTTTGGTAGTCACACAATTGGAGACAGGAAATCAGCAGATGGGTAATAGGCTGGAGAAAATAAGAAAGTCAAGGCACTGGAATTCTTAATATTTACGAAGAGGCAAAGAGATTCTTTTAGTTGAAAGAAGCCGATTGATGCAATAACAATAGTTCTTTGGTGGGATTGTAAAGTAGTTCACAGAACTCTAGAATAATTTAACTGTCAGGCATTATGGTATGTGGTGAAGGATTAACTGTTTTGTATATGTAAACTGACATTATGATAGAGTCATATCTGATAATGGTCTCTCCTCTGTATGATTGTGTACTGATCATCAGATCTTTGCCGTAAGTGGAGAGTCTTGCCGCCTTCTACCAATTATCAGGACAAAGAATTTCTTGACATGTGGATTTGTGCTAATAATCCTAACCTCTCGGAGAACAGGTAGTTTTTGATATTTCCCTGAAATTCTTTATCCATTTTTAATTCCTAGTGTTCTTACGTGTGCAACTGAAAAATGTCAGCTAATGATACATTTTTGCTTAGTAGCTGGTATCTCTTTGAACTCTTTGTAGCCCTTGCAATTTGTGAAAAGATTATTGCATTAGTGTACTTTTCCATAAAACAAAAGAAATCTGGATGTCAGACATTGGAGTACACAGCTTTGCACTTCCACTGGTGGGAGAATACACCCCAGTTTTGAAGAGTTCTGCCTCCCAATTCATTTTCAAACAGCATGCAGTCTTATCATATAGGAATGGTACTCAGAGGGTGTCTCCCAGCGGCCTTAAACTGTTGGACTATGTGCTTTTTTCTATTGAAGTCATATATTGATTTTATTGCTTTATGCTCTTGGAGGAAGACATTCAGACTAAAACAGGAAAAAGACTGATTAAATACTGAAGGATGTCAATGCTATTACAAGCCCTTTTTTTGGACTAATATTCTTTTCCTATAGTTCAGAGTTAATACCCCCCTTCTATAAAGACACCTCTAAGTCAAGCCTTCTTTTTCCACGTAGGCTTTTCAAAGTTCTTTTGGCTGGATAAGTGGATATATTTTGCTAGTACATTTATTATGGTGATAACATCTCTTTGGTTATTTTTATCTAGCACTTAAAACAAAAGAGCAAAAATTACAAAATTAAAACAATGAAAACATTCAGATGCTGTTGCTAAAATCCTTTCTACCTGCAGTTCTCAGGTTAATTATATTAAGAGACAAGAAAAATTTCAGAGGTGGTAAGGTGCTTAGATTTTACAGGACCCAGGATTTCTCAACATCCCTTTCTTGTTTTGCAATACAAATATATGTGTCTCAAATAAAATTTGTCACAAAGTCCAAGTATATAAAGCAAATAAATGCATAACTCTCCTGGTTGAATTAGAAACTGAGAACCTGGGAACCAAAGATGTCTACTTCCCATTTCTGTTCCCTGCTTCTTGTATAAAGCCTTGAGCTCCAGGATTTAGGGTTGTATAACACAGATCTAGTTTTAATTCTTAATTTTCACAAAGAGAGAAATGAAGTCCAAATTGAGGCCAAGAAATCAGTTCCTGAAGCCACTGGCAAGATCTTTTGACTCCTAACCTGATTCCATCCCTTACTTGATTATCTTCTAAATAGGGGCAAAACATTAACTCAGTTTCTCTTATTAGGAATAGTTCACAAAATTAACTGCTTACTGTGAGCTAAGAACTTTTCATATACTGTAAGATGGAGTTCAGTGTCTGGACTCTGGGTATAGAATATCTAGATTTGACTCCTGGATCCAGTAGTTGTGAGACCCTGGGCAAAATCAGTCAATCTCTCTCTCTCTATCTCTTGGATTTTATATATTAATTTGAGAGGCAGAGTTACAGAGAGAAGGAGAGAGGAGGGAGAGAGAGGTCTTCCACTTGCTAGTTCACTTCCCAAATGGCCATAATGGCCAGAGCTTGGCCAATCCGAAGCCAGGAGCTAGGAGCTTTATAGAGATCTCCCACATGGGTGCAGGGGCCCAAGAACTCAGGCCATCCTCCACTGCTCTCCCAGGCCAACAGCAGGGAGCTGGATTGGAAGTGGAGCAGTAGGTGCCCATATGGAATGTCAGCGTCAAAGGCAGGGGCTTAACCCACTATGCCACAGCCAGCCCCAAGATAACCTCTCTTTAACTCAGCTTCCCATTCCCTGGAAAGAGGTATAGCAGTAGTATCTTGATAGATACTTCTGAAATTCCTAGTCACTTGGAGGCCTCTTGGTAGCAAATTTAGGCTACTTCTGTAATATCTATTCATTTAGCTATCATACTCACTAATCTTGGGCATTGTCAGACCCACAGAACAGAGAAGCTACTCTCTACAACTTACCACCATCCCTGGGGAGGCATGCTCCCATACTGTTCTCTTAAAAAGAAGCGATACCATCACAGAGTATTGCAAAATTAGTTTCAAAACTGCATTAATTCTGTCTCTTTTACACATTGAAATAGTGCCACTTGTGATGCGAGGCAAGATAAATTTAGTTATGTTGGCAGAAAACTGATGGACCTTAAAAGTCTAAAATGCAAAAAGACTTGTATTTATAATTTTCTTAACTTCTTCAATCTTAAAATACACAGTCATAATATTGACCATCTGTTTGATTTCCACTGAAAAGACTGTGATAAAAATATGCATGGAATGACAGCAAGAGGTTTAGGGGAGACATAAAGAAAAATTCCTGATTGCAAGGGGAAGTTTATGGAGAATTGGAGCTTTCTTTATATTAGCTCATTACATTTATGTAGATGTGGATTTAGATTCCAAGACTAAGTCATCTGATGACTTCATTCAGCCTTCACACAGGTGGGCCAGACATACCTGGAGAATAGACTTTGAAATAGATTATTGTTAGGCAAAAACCTGAGACATATAAGCCATTGGATTTGGATAGTCACATAAAGGAAGTGAATTAAGTATAGTTATTTATTAGGTAACATTCTGTGAACAACAGGACAGAATAATATTAATAATATGGTGAAAAGTGGCATTGTATATATTTACATAAAATGCAGTTTGTTGCCAACAGTTAATTGCCTGTTGTTACCAGAGTTAAAGATCAATGAACAACCTGCGAATGAATGATGTTTGTTTAATGAGAACTTGGGCCAGAAACATAATAGCTTTCTCTTACATAGCAATTACATATGCTGTCTCATTCCATATTTATGAAAGTCCTATGACCTTTCCCCATGTCTCAGCAGAGAAAACAGAGAGGCTGAGGAAGTTTCAGTGACTTGCCCAACATTTTTCTCTAGCGATGAAACTGGAAGTCAAGCTCCTGTTGCAAAACTGAACTTTTCCCCACCTTGTGCTTGCTCTTGGAAGGCATCTTTTTCCATTTCCAAATACAATTTAGTGACCAAAATTCACCATTTTACAAACTGAGGGTAGAGTAGAGCCATTCTTTTTCCAACTACTGAAGTCTTATTTTGTTCTTCACTTTTAACTTCAGAGGGAGACTATTACATTTTTATCACAGTACCTGAGAAATAGATATCAGTATGCTTGTTACATTCATGCTTTGAATTTGTCTGCATTGAAAATAAGGATCACCAGCAGGGCAAAAATGACGCCTATTACTTGGTGGAGGCAAACAATGTCTGACTTTTGGAAAAGATTAAGTATCTATGGGTTGTAATGCATATCAAAATATTTACAGAAATCATTAAATGAAGACAACTGATTGTGCTTTAATACTTGAGGATTTCTCTTTTTTGAATAAAACCTTAATGTTGCCACAGATTTTTTTCTCAAATGAAACAGAAGTCAGTTTAGGCCACATACCACAGATGTCTTCAGACCAGTACTCCAGGCGGCTGTATATATAGTAGTTGTCATTAGGATTTGTTTATCTGGTACCTTTCTTTGAAAACAACAGCAATAACACAGATATAACATGTGAGTGGAATTAAGTGTTTTTTCACAGTAGTACTTGAAATTGATTGTAGTTCCTCACTCTTCCCTGTTGGTAGGAAGAATATATATATTGTTATTGTATATGTATTGAATATATATATGTATATTGTATATATATTGTTATTGTAACCATAACAAAGGAGTATTCATCCATAGCCTGTTTATGTTCACTTACACACAGCTCCACTTGATTATGTACATTTATCAACCCAGTGGTTACCAGAGAAACACACATCCATAAGCCTGGGAGGTTAGTGACTGCCAAATGCAGGTACTCTAATGGCAGCAGGTGCTTGGGGCCATTTGGGTGAAAGGGTTCTGTAAGTCCCAGTAATGCCCAAAGCTGTCAGTCAGTACTATCCATCACTTCAGCCAGTCACTGGTCTTCATCACAAGGCTGTCCCTGAGTACTGCATTACATCATGTACTCAGTGGTCTTCACAGCGATCCTGAATCATCAAGTCAAGGATGCATTTGTTTCAGAGGCAGAATAATTTGATATATTTTAAAGAGACCTATGGATCCCCATCCCAGTTTTTCATAAAAAATAATGTTTTGCAGTAATGATGTAAGCATCAGTCATCCAAAAACATTTTTGCAAAAGACTTCATTTCATAATAATGTAGGGTAAGGGAAGCATTAGTGAAATAATACTCTCCCATTCTCATAAATATTAACTATCCCCCTCATTTACCATTAAGCTCTTTTCCAGGCAAATTGGAGATTTAAAGTCATATATTACAAAATGTCATCAATTTAATGATTTTCCTTTTCATTTGAATTTTGGCAATATGATAGAAAGTATAACTCCTTATAGAATTAAATCATATTTCACACGCAGTAAATTGTTTTATATTTCCTCCTATACTAATATTGTACTTGTTGATTGTAAAGTTGTCATCATGTAGAACATCTACCTTCCATCCCACTGGGCACCATGAGTACAATGTTACCATCAAAAAGTGAGAAAGCAAAGAAGCTTAGAGAGTCAGTTCAAAGGTATCAAAACAAACTGGCAGAGACGCAGCCACAGGTGAGTTGTTAATTCTTTCCAAACTCTATGGTAGCTCTTGAGCTGTCGGTGTCATCTGTGTCAATTGACTAATGTGGATTACCATACAAAAATGTGTAGCTTCTTTTATCCATCCTTCTGATCATCTTTTAATTTTGGATTAAGGACTGTTCTAGAGTGTAGATCCAGAGGAAGGAGGAGAGTTCTGTAAAAAATATTGTGCATGTGATATCTAAGTCCATCCATACCACAGTGTGATGGAAACATTTCCACTCTATTGCTGCATATAGAGATTTGCAGAGGTCAACAAGTGTGCCCAAGGTACGTGCTCAAGGAGGGTACACAAGTCTGTATGCCTCAAAATTAGGCTATTTTTACTTCACTAGGCTTTTTACCTGAAAATGGATATTTTTGATATAGAGGTCTTTTTTTAAATTAGCTTATTAGTGCAGAAAGCCAAAGTCATATTTGAATGTTAAGAAAATTCAGTAAATAAAATATTACTATCTATAAACATTGATAACCATGACAATTTCAAGGTTAAAAAATCATGTAGAATGTTTGTTTTATTTTTGTAACTAACAAGATAATTAGATATCTATTTACACTATAGATTAAGCACCCAATTTGAGCATTTTAGAGTGGATAGCCAGTCAGCTTCCTCAAGCAGCATTTGTTTTTTTTTTTTTTTTTTTTTTAATGAATATAAATTTCCAAAGTACGACTCATGTGTTACAATGGCTTCCCCCCCCATACCGTCCCTCCCACCCACAACCCTCCCCTTTCCCACTCCCTCTCCCCTTCCATTCACATCAAGATTCATTTTCGATTATCTTAATATACAGAAGATCAGCTTAGTATACCTTAAGTAAGTATTTCAACAGTTTGCTCCCACACAGAAACATAAAGTGAAAAATAATAGATGATTTTTTTTAAATGATGATGAAATCAGATCAGACCTATTGTCATGTTTAATCCCAGTGAGAGTCAAGTTGGGAATTGATAATTTCTTTCTTTTTTTTTTTTTAACAGAAGATCAGTTTAGTGTACATTAAGTAAAGATTTCAGTCGTTTGCACCCCCATAGAAACACAAAGTGAAATATACTGTTTGAGTACTCGTTATAGCATTAAGCCTCAGTGTACAGCACGTTAAGGACAGAGATCCCACATGAGGAGTAAGTGCACAGTGACTCCTGTTGTTGACTTTACCAATTGACACTCCTGTTTATGGCATCACTAATCTCCCTATGCACCAGTTATGAGTTTCCAAGGCTATGGAAGCCCCTCAAGCAGCATTTGTAAAAGTCAACAGCAGATGTCCAAATGTGTAGATTGCTCTGTAGATGTCAGGAAATAAAATGCTCACTAGAGTAATAAATTTAGTGACAGTGAGGATATTAAGCCTGAATACCTAATTAGTTTGTGTGTTCCTGGGCTCTTTTTTTTAAAACTTTAATTTAGTAAATATAAATTTCCAAAGTACAGTTTATGGATTACAATGGCTTTTTTCCCCCATAACTTCCCTCCCACCTGCAACCCTCCCATCTCCCATTCCATTCACATCAAGATTCATTTTCAATTATCTTTATATACCGAAGATCAATTTAGCATATATTAAGTAAAGATTTCATCAGTTTGCACCCACATAGAACATAAAGTGTAAAATACTGTTTCAGTACTAGTTATAGCATTAATTCACATTGAACAACACACTAAGGACAGAGATCCTATATGAGGAGTAAGTGCACAGTGACTCCTGTTGTTGACTTAGCAAATTGACACTCTTGTTTATGGCGTCAGTAATCTCCCTAGGCTCTAGTCATGAGTTGCCAAGGCTATGGAAGCCTTTTGAGTTCGTGGACTTTGATATTATTTAGATAACACCATAATCAAAGTGGAAGTTCTCTCCTCCCTTCAGAGAAAGGTAGCTCCTTCTTTGATGGCCCCGTTCTTTCTACTGGGATCTCACTCTCAGAGATCTTCATTTAGGTGTTTTTTTTTGTTTTGTTTTGTTTTGTTTTTTTGCCACAGTGTTTTGGCTTTCCATGCCTAAAATACTCTCATGGGCTCTTTAGCCAGATCCGAATGGCTTAAGGGCTGATCCTGGGCTCTTAAAAGATAAATTTTCTTCTCTGCTCCAGTTTTATCTCATTTCTTTTCCCACTTTGCTAGGGACATGCAGTGCAAGTCAGTCACCACCTGAGATTACAACCAACGAAATCTGGCCCTGTCCTTATAACAGAGTCTTGGTCTCTCCTGGAAACATGCTAAAATCATTTTGGAAGCAGATTGTTTAAGGGCTTCACACCTCCAAAAAAAGCAGCTCAACTTTCTATAATCCATAGAGGTTCTAGCTGTGGATTTGGTAACAGAGATCAAAAATAAAGATAAAACAGCCTGTGGCTGCTTTAATTGATAAACGGCTGGGCAAATTCAGACCTTTACATTGCAGAATATGTTAATTTTTTTTGTTTTTTATTTTGCTTAGGCATTACAGCTTGTGAAGGCACTCACATACTGAACTGATTTTTCTCTTTGTAGTCATCTCTGTTTTTTTTTTTTTTTTTTTTCCTTTCCTGTAGAGGTCAGAGCTGACCCATGGATATTAATAGTGCCAATCACAAAGTCTTAATTAGCTTGTTGTTGATTTAGGGTGAGATGTTTTATTCATCATGGAGATAGAGATTTTGATGGCAACTGATAGAATAACAGATTTATGCCATCAGTTCTGCTTTTTATTTTTTTGGTAGTTGACTTTATTTTCCTGTAAAAATTAAACCAGGGTTATAAAAATTCAGTTTGCTTCAAGTGCATACAAAGAAGGTTAGCAGTGTTTATATAATTCCAAAGACATAAGAATCCTTACCATCCTCTCTTTACCTTTTGTGAAAGGAAGATTTCATGAAATCCTTTTGTGAAAAGAATCTTAGCCTTTTTAACATACAGTAGGACTCAATTCCTATAACTGACCCTAATATGTAGTAATCAAGGAACACTGCAGAACAGCTAATTTTGAGGTGGTCAGTGAGCATGTACTTGCCTTTGTGTGTGTTCCAAGTCAGGCTTTGTGGTAGTGCAGCTTAACTAGTACCAGAGTATAAACTTCACAAGAGCAAGGGTTGTCTTGATTTTGGTTTTGAATCTGCATACCCTAAAACAGTGGCTGGAATATATACTAGCAACTCAGTAGTTCATTACTGAATCAAAAAATAAAATACACTTTCAGATAATATATGGCTTCTTTGTGGACCACGTCTAACAGCTATTAAAAATTAACAACCGCTATAAGGTAATATTACTTCAATACTTGGTTTATCTTAACTGAAACTGCAATAGAAGTTTGTTCAAAGGAGGGCAACTTCAGTCAAATGAATTTTGGAAAGGGAAAGGGCATTGAACTTGTGTCTTGAAATAAATTTAGGGAAAATAGAGGGGAAAAGACTGGGCATTCCAGGTAAGAAGGACAATATAAAGGGAGATTTGGAGATGAGCAATGATTTTTTTTCTCATGGAATCAGACTTTTAAATTACAACCTAAATCTGCATACTTTTGTTTTCTATTTTTGCTCATATTTAGCACAAAGTTAGAAGTTGTTGTTAGCACAATAAGAGAAGAAAAATTGATTTACATATGTTATTGTGTGCAAATTGTATGCATGTTTATGTAGAAACCACAATACTTGACTACTACAATTTATCAACAAGGCAAGTAATACTGCTTGACTTATCAACAATATCAGAACATCAAAAGTGACCATTTACCCCAAAAAATAAGTACAAAATGGGAATTTTAAAATGTGATTTTTTAATAGCAAGAAACCTAAGAATAATCCAGCAAAAGTTGTATAAGACTTTCCGAAAGAAATAATAAAAATTTTAAAAATGTATTTAAAAATTTTTAAAGGTGAACAAAATTCACATATACAGATTTCAGAATATAGTGATACTTCCCACCCTACCAGCCCTCCTGCCTGTGTTCCCACCCTTCCTCCTACTTTGTCTCTTATTCCTTCTCTTAATTTTTTGATGATCTACTTTCAGACTATTTTATACTTATACGAGTAACCCTAAACTAGGTAAAGAGTTCAACAAATAATAAGGAAAAAAAAATGTTCCTCAACAGAAGAGACAAAGACTGTAAGCAATCATTGCATTTCAAAATGTCAAATTTCACTCCTCTACATTATAATGTTTGGTACCCTGTTGGTTACCACAGAACAGGGAAAAATATACAGTATTTTCTTTTTGGGGACTTGGCTTATTTTGTTATTTGGGGATGTGGCTTATTTGGTTTCCATTTGCATCCATTTTGTTGCAAAAGACAGGATTTCATTCTTTTTTACAGCTTAGTAGTAATACATAACATATATGGATATGTATACACATACACACACATACATACCAATTTCTTTATCCAGTCTTCAGTTGACAAGTATTTGGGTTGATTCCATGTCTTAGCTATTGCAAATTGAGCAGCACTAAACATGGGGGTGCAGATAACTCTTTCATATGCTGATTTCATTTCCCTTGGGTCATTTCTCAGGAGTGGGATGGTTGGGTCATATGGTAGGTCTATGTTCAGATTCCTGAGGTATCTCCATGTTGTCTTCCAATAGTGGCTTTACCAGTTTACATTCCCACCAACAGTGGATTAGGGTACCTTTTCCCTCACATCCTCACTAATACTTGTTGTTTGTTGATTTCTGTGAGTGCCATTCTAACTGGGGTGAGTTGAAGCCTCATTGTTCTGACTTGCATTTCCCTGATGGTTAGTTACCCTGAACATATTTTTTTCATGTATGTTGACATTTGATTTGAATTTTCTTTTTTGAAAAATGACTATTCAAGTCCTTTGCCCATTTCCTAATTGGATTGTTTCTCTTGCTGTTGTTAAGTTTCTTGAGTTCTTTATAGAATCACATTGAATTTGTAAATTGCTTTTGGTTGTATGGATATTTTGATGATAATAATTCTTCCAATCCATGAATATGGAAGGTTTTCCCATGTTTTGTGTCTTCTG